TGCAAGATGTTACCACTGGGGTGAATCAGGTATAGGGAACATGGGATCTCTCATTATTATTTCTTATGACTGCAAAATTAACAGTTTAATTTAAAGAAAAGAATAAAGATATCATAAAATATAGTTTGGTATTTTAAAAAACTGATCAAAGACCAGAAGCATGAAGAAATTGGTAGAATTAACAGGATGATCATCAGTGTAGCTTTCTCAATTCAGCAAGGTTGATAACAAATTATTTGAATCCCTATGAGGAGACTGTCAGACCCAAATCTAGCAGCTTGGGAGGAGGATGGCCTGCCCACCTTTGAGTCTCTGGTAGAAAATTCCTAATCCTCATTCTTATGAGAAAGGACCATGATGAAGAAAACCATGCACCAATAATGCAAAATTCAAAATAAGATGTTAGCAAAATAAATCCATCATTCTATTAAAATAATAACACACCGTGGCTGTGATTGACATTGTTGCACGCCTATCCAACATCAATTTGTCTTCCTCCTTCCTAATGGAATCCAACTTCATTCAAGTATCCACTTCTTCCCAACTTGCCCCAGGGAAAGCTGTCCTATCCCCACCTCCAAAGGGAGATTAACTGGTCTAAGGATAACTCCCACTTCCTCAGCAGTGACTGGTTTAGGACTTGGCATGGACACAGTCCAGGCACATGGAATGCAAAGAGACACTTTTGGAGTCCCTTAGGAAACTTCCTTTTTGTTTTTACAAGAGTGCTTCCTGAGTGACTCTCTTCTGCTAGATGTACATGAGGAGGAGTGTAGACCCAGCTGCCACTGAAAGCCATCCTGTGACCGCAGGAACATCCACCTTACAATGGAGCCGATGTTGTGGGCAGAAGAGCCTGCAGAGCCCGGGATCAGCCCATCATAAATGTACCTTAGTTTCTGAATTCTAGTTAAATACATTGATAGATTTCTTTATTGTTTAAATTGCTGCGAGTTGGGCTTTTTAGTATTTCTAGGCGAAAGCATCCTAACTGATCAAATGGCTTGGTCTCGGTATTGTTCTGTATTGGCAAAGATGCTGACTTAATTAATTCCATTAATAGGTCAGAAAAGCAGAGTATCGTGACTCTTTGGATATATATTGAAGAACTATTTGGAAAAACTCAAAATAATGTGTGGGTGAGAGGGTGTCTCTTAATAAACAACGCATAGAAAAATATTCCTGAGCCCTCTCTTAGAGGGCAGAAGCACTTTGGGAACGTAGCCACCTGAAAGTGGCCTTCTCTTCTCGTTTATGCCCAAATCCAATCCATATGGGTCTCCTGTGCCAAACAGCTGCTGGATCTACAGGAAACTGCAAGAAAGCTATGTCCTAGGTTTAGCTGGACTCTGGCAGAGAACCAGCAGAGGGTCTTTTCTGCCAGGGGCTGGATGATTGACAACGGTGGATATTTGTGTGAATGTAGATAAAAGGAGCCCCTGGGGAAAATCATCATCTATCCTCACAAATGTGCCTGGTTACTGGGCTTCCATGAAGACAGGAAGAAGCTAAATGGGTCAGCTCAGCCCTCCTGCCTATGAGATTGGTAAGGCACATGGAGACCAGTGTCAGGGACCCTTCTTCCAGGTACATCGGCCAGACTCATGCATGTTAAATCCCTGGAATGGAGATCAATTTGATGCTTTCTTCCTGTGACTGCTGTCTTTTAGGGTATTGAAACAGTCTTACCCGGGTACGCGAACCAAACATCCAACAACAACAGCAAATCCCACCCGCCATCTTGAGCAGAGACGGGATGTTAAGTTGTAACGAATAGAATACAAGTCCACAGAAACAAAGCTGCTGGAGGAGAGAGATGACAATTTAGTGTGGGGAAAAGACCAACTAAAGGGAATCACTGGCAATCCAGAAAAAAATTTCTGAACTTAAATATAACTTACCAATTAAGCAATTGCAAAGATAAGTAGATGTTTACTGTTAAGACCCAAACTGGTTGCTGGAAGAGCAAGTCTAAAAAAATATCTCAGTGACCAGAGGGTAAAAAAGGTATATTAATAGAGAGGATAAGAGACTTGGAGAATAGGCCTGAAAACCTAATTCTACAATAGAACTCAGAAGAAGGAGAGGTAACACTTCTAAAAAACAAAAAAAGAACAGTTGAATAGATATTGGTGGCCTGTAGACTGAAAGAGTACACTGATTTCCAGACTACAATGATGAGAAAACACTCATATCCAAGCAAATTCCAATAAAATTCCTGAGTTCAAAAAAGAAAGATAAAATCATAAAATCTTTAGGCAAAAACAACCAAATTACTTCCAAAAGAAAAAGAATTTGACCAGCATTTGGATTTCTTACATGTAGCAATAGAAGCTAGTAGAATTGAATCTATGGACTTGTGAGAGAGAAGAACTGCAAGCCCGCTATCTTATACCCAGCCAAGATATCCCATCTAACATGGTAAAGAAAGAAATCTGAGGAGATGTAAAAATTCAGAGATTATATACCTAAGTGTTCCCAAAGAGGGATGCTCTCAAGGAAATACTCTCAACAAACCATAAATGAACCCAGACATTATGATAGGGCAAGAAGATGAGAAGAAACAGTATGAGCAGTGAAACTTGAGATCTTTATATCTAAATTCTATTCTTATCTATCTATCTATCTACCTAAATGAATAAGCATAGACTGTCAGTAAATTTGTAATTTAAGTGCAAATATGGACTCTAGAGATAAAAGAGCATACTTTATGGGTAATTTAACAACATGAAAACAAAAGTACTAAATTATCTCAGAAAAACTGGGAATTGGAGTAAAGAGGTGGTAACTAAAATCATTCCAAAGCTTTCAACTTCAGACCAGGGGACGAAGGAGAAAAAAATATATTGAAAAATATTTACTGATCTTATCGAGGTGATGTGGGGAATAGGAGAGAAACAGTTAATTAGCAGCCACTTCTGGGAGAGCTCCAGTTGGCTGATTTTTAGAAGGTTCCAGAGGGCACTTCAAAGGGGTTCCCTGCTGAGAAACCGAGCTTTCTTTCCCTTGCCTGGGGTGGGAGTGCTGCCTATGCAGGTCCTGAGATGCTCCTTGATCATATGAAATAGCAGGCTTTTATAAGAAAGAGCGAAATAAAATTGCCAACCACTGTGAAATATAATACTTTAACCAAGCCCATAGTCCAAGGCCATCTTCCAAGGACATCGGTTTTTTCCTTTGCTGTACAATGTGTTGTACTGGAGCTGTTGGTCTTTCTAGCAACTGTTTGCAGGTCAGCAATTACTGCTCACCTTGGATTGAGGGTTTAAGTCAAAATGAATTTCTCTACCTTGGCTACAACTGGTGATTACTTGTTTTCTCTGTCTGTAAGTTTTCCAGCAATCAAGCTGCACAGATTTCCACAAGTTTGAAGGGACAAAGGAATAAACAGTCCCTCAGAGAATTCACACAGATTGTTCCAAGTCATCTGGGCTAATCAAGCAGTCACTCATTGTCACAGTATTTCTGTGGAAATGGCAATTCAATCATCAAGTTCCCTGCAATGTCGGACACAAGATCCAAAAGGAAATTTTTTATTTTATTTAACTTAGGAGGTGAAATGTAAGACTAATTTAATAAACTAGCTTTTTAATGTTGACTGCAGAATTATTTACAATATTTTATAATATTGATAAATCGGAAATGACCAACACTTCCAACAACAGGGATCAGTTAAATAAATAATAGCAGTGTCTTACAATGTTTTTAGAATTGCAAATCCCCTTAAGTGGTTTTAAAAATATTGTCAGCAATTTTGAATGGCATAAAAGAAAGAGCTGATTTTCCATAAAAACATTTTTAAAACTTTAATCAGTACATTAAATATAATGTTATGAAATTTCTTTAAAGTAGAAATAGATGCAACTGAGTGTGAGAAATTATTAACTAATAAAAATAGCTGTGAAATAATAAGAAATTCACACATTGGTCTCTGCCCTCAGTGCTGGGCACAGAGTTGGTGCAACTCTTGGAATTTCCTGATGGGGTATCAGGCAAATCTTTTGTTCTAATGTTTGGTCTCTGTTCCAGTTCCTGACACAGAGCTCCTAAATCTCTTGGGATTTCCTGGGTGACAGGAGCAGCTTTTGTTCTAATGAGACAACTCTTGGTGGGCTCCTGGGTAGGGGCTGGTCACCAGAAAGACCAAGCCGTGATTAGAAGCTTGGAACTTTCAGCCTCACCGATGCTCTCTCCCCATTCTGGGAGAAGAGAGACGGGCTGGAAATGGAGTTAATAAACCACCATGCCCACTCAATGAGGCCTCCCTAAAAATCCCTGAACTATGGGGTTCAGAGGGCTTCCAGTGGGCAAACATTTCATGTGCCGGGAGGGTGGCACACCCTAAATTTACAGGGACAGAAGCTCCTGCCTTAGGAACCTTTTTTTTTCATGCCTTGTCCAGTGCATCTCTTCCACCTAGCTATTCACCTCTTGCCTTTGTAATAACCTTTATAACAAATGGATAATAAAAAGAAAGTGTTTTGCTGAGTTCTGTGAGCTGCTCTAGCAAATTAATTGAACCTGAGAAGGAGTTGTGGGAACCCTGATTTATAGCTCGTTGGCCAGAATTATAGGTGACAACCTACTACTTGTGACTGGTGTCTGAAGTCAGGGGCAGTCTTGTGGTACTAAGCCCTTAGCCTGCGGGACCTGACACTGTCTCCAGGTAGTTAGTGTTGAATTGAATTAGAGGACACCCAGCTGGTGTCCACTAGAGAATTGCCTGATTATTGGTGGGGAGAAATCCCCACACATTTTGGTGACCAGGGGTGAAGTGGTATTGAGTGCATGAGAATAGGAAAAACACTTTGATTTTTCCTAGATAGGAAAAATTAGGCAATTAGGGAGTCCTAAGAAACAATGCATATATTACGTATTCTAAATATTTTATTTTAACTTAAATCATTTACATATACTTTCACTTGAAAATACTTTGATGTAACATCAATGCATGATTAAAATTCTTGCATAAATCACACCCATAATGTATTATCTGTAATTACAGTTTTAGGCCCCTTAAACTAGAGGGTGAAATTTGGACATTTACAAAACGATGTGAGTATAGAATACTTTGAAGATTTTTTTTTTTTTTTACAAACTCGTCTATCCCTTTTCCAACAACATTTTTTAAAAAAGTTATACAAAATTAAATATAATAGCCAGCACAAATAGCACTGGGAAGTCTTAGAGTAAACATAGGTGGCTCAGTAAATGTTCAACTTGACTCTTGGGGACAGGCGTCCTTGGGCACGCTGGAAAGGTGCCTTCTAGTCTGTAACGTGCATTGTATTATGGATGTTGCTCGGTGTGTTTACAGTGTGAACAGCAAGCACAGAGCAAACTTGCGTATGCATCAAAATCACCTGGAGGGCTTGTTAGAACCCAGATCGCTGGGCCCACGATCTGGTACAGAAGGTCTAGGGTGGGGTCTGAGAACGTGCATTTATAACAAGTTCCCGGGTGATGCGGATGCCGCTAGTTGGGGCTCACACTCTGAGAACTATTGGCATAGGCCAGTCCAGCAAGTTGGTAAACAAAGGTTGGTTACACGTTAACCCTCAGTACAGTCTTTCTCCCATTGAACAAGCGAGCACTGCTGTTTATTTGAAATTAAGCAGGAGAAAGCATACATTTTTGTCATATACATTTTTTCCAGGATACATTGTATTTGGATTAGGGATTGAATTCTATTAGCATAGAGAGGAGATTTATGTATTAATTACTAGAAATTACTAGGAAGATTGTGTTTTGCGCTTAAAATAGCTGATCACTTGATTTTATGAATAATTTCTTGTTTCTGAAAACAAGAGAAAAGGTTTCAGATCCTTACCTGGAAACACTTCTCTGCCAATAACACTTTGCACACGTGGCTAGTTTTCATTCTTATCAATGAAAAGGCAACTCAGATATAAGGATATATAATAGTCACTTTTTTTTCTCTTTCTATCACGTGAACTTTTGAAGTATACTTGAAATCTCCGTGTGCTGAATAAAAACTGTCATGAGATGAATTCAACTTCCTGAACAGAAGAGTCTGGAGGTGGATTTTTAAAACGGGTTGCATTCAACCTTCATTCTTGGTTTGCACTCAAGGCATTTCATGGAAAAGTAGTGACCAAGAATAAAAGCAATGGAAAGTGGTATACAAGGCAAGCATTGCAGCTTCTGCTCTTTAAGGTGTTTAGATTGCTCTGCTTTGACAGGGAAATGTTCAATTATGTTTACTTATCAACATTCTCAAAACAGAAATGGAAACACATGTTGGCTGTCGTTATCTACAGGAACCCTTAGAAACACAATAGGAAAACTAAACAATGTTACGTCATCAAGAATAATACCATGGAAGCAGATTTATTTGCACAGAAAGATATTGTACTCTGGAGAGAAAAATGCAAGGTGCAAAATAGCTCATATGGGATGAGCCCATTTTTGTAAGGAAAAAGTACTGAAGTACATGTAACAAAATGTTGCCAGCAGTTATTTTTAAGGGGAGTGGGGGAAGTATTGGATTCCTGGTGCTTTTTGCTGCATACAGTTTTTAGTATTTCCTATTATACATTACTCATGTAATTAAAAGACAAATACAAGTGACACAGACAGAACATAACTGTCATCTCCCACAGTTCATTTTAAAATAGCGCCTTTTATTGACCTTTCTGAGACATAGGCTCCACTATGCTCTATATGAAGGTTTCCCATACACAGATTACGGGGATGAAAAACTGATGTTTATGCTGACACAGTTTAGCATTACATATCTTTAGAATGCAGTATTTACTGTATAATTACTTTTCCAAATACTAACTATTTACTGATGGTGGAATAACAAACACAGGAATAGGCACAGTCATAAATTACTGGTAGTCACTATAGCAACACGCTGTGATAAATTCTATTTTTGTCCCTGTGATTACAAAATTACTTTTACAAACATAAGCGTCTTACAACGTGTATTATTTTAAATATATCTGAAAGATTGTAAAATATACTTCTTAAATATTATTTAAAATATATTACCTTAAATATGAATCATCCATGAGGTTTTTTCCCCCCTAGAATTAGAGTATTATTAAATATCAAAGTAATTTCTGTTAGATACAGCAAGGTCATTTTTCACAAAAAAATAACTGTGCAGAAATTAGTCGGTTGGCCCCCAATTAAGATGATTATAGAGACACTTATCTAATCATGTGTTCCCTGGCCCATATCTTCCTGAAGGTTGTGGTTTGATTTTAGTTGAAATAGCCTGGTGGTTGTTCAAAATTTTGTGCTTTAAGAATGAGAAAACCAATTATGCTATTTCAATACATAAAATTAACATTATCCCAGAGGCTATGTTTTAGAAATCTCAATTCTTCTTTTTGATTATTCATTAGTACAAATCATCCTTTAAAGAGAAAAGAAAAGAGGAAGAAACATGATCATGGGGAAAGTCACATTTCCATTTGAAGTTTTTAAAAAACGTTGCAGGGATGGAGTTAATAGCACTTGGGAGGCAGAGCAGGATTCAAATACAAGCTTCGTCCCTGGTTGATGGTGGTGGCTCTGTGACTGTGGGCAGTTGCTCAGGGTCTCCGAGTCCCTGGTTCCTCAAACCCTGTGATGGTTTTTGTGAGCAGTAATGTACCTAGAACTTTAGGTATCCATTCTAATCGTTTCTCTTCCCATCCTATTAAAGTGGGTGGCATCACTAAGAAAATACACAGATTATCATTTAGGATGTGTTCATCTTTTGCATATTTAACTCTATATACGTAGAGAGGTTTTCAAGCTAAGGTATCAATGATAATGTTCACATTTATACTATATATATTTTAACTCAACAAACATGCCATCCAAGCCCCTATATATAACATAGGCAAGAGCATAAGATTTCAAGAGAAAGTATTATGTCAGTATTTATCAAATTTGGGAATTTAATTCACAATACAAGTCTGTGTTGACAGTATTTTGTGGGCATTTAAATTTTATTATTTGCAGAGATATGAATGATACCCAAATCTTTTTCTGAAGTATCCTTGTACAATTATTCTAGCTACTCTAGTATTTTATAAGATTGGCACATGCCACCATGAGAATGCTTCCATAGAAAAACCTTGGGATGGATGAAAAACATCATGTTGCTTACATGAGATTTTATATAACTAACATGCTATCAATACTGTGGCATATTCTAGTCTACACAGTATTTTAAACACATTATTTAATTTGCTACAACTCCGTGATGGTGGCTATTCCAAATTAACACATAAAGTGATTGAGACACAGAGAGCCCACATGCCTTTCCAAGGTCATGCTGTTAGAAGTAGACTCTGACTCTGAAATGAGTTTTGAAGAGACCTCTACCCCCTGCATCTCCACCATCATACCTTATTGGCTATTAAGAGTCCAGAGTCCTACAGGCTATGGGAACACAAGGTCCATATGCAAAGGGAATGTACAAACGGGAGATGCTGAGTGGCCCTCAAGTCAAATCAGCTCTGCCCTCAGCCACTGATTTCCAGGAAAACAAGCTGACTCCTGGGGCTGTCCTCCTGCTTCTGGAGGCTACACAGGCATATCCATTCACCCACTAAAGCAATATTCACACAGCACTTATTATGTGCATTTCGCTTGCAGAGGTACAAAAAAAATGCAAACCATGATCACAGCAGACCCACTCCTTTGCCCTTTGGGAACTGAAAATGTCCAACAGTAAAGATGGAAACGTTATCAGGTAACTCCTAGACAGGGTGAGAAGTGCAAAGACGAGCAGCAGTCCAGGCTGCCAAAAGGTGACTCTGAGAGAGAGGGGCACCAACCCGAACTGAGGGGCTTAGAGGGAGTGACGTCTGAGTTGAGACATGAAAAACAAGAAGACTTTCTTCAAGTCAAGGACTAAGATGGGGAGAGTGGAAGGAAGGAAGAGCATGTGCAAAGGCCCGAGGCTAGGGAGACTGTGCTGAGTTTGAAGAACTGGAATAGGCTCAGTCTGGGTGAATTGTGAAAGCTGAGACCCTTCCCAGCAAGACCCTGGACTTGATCTTGACAATAAAAGTAGGCAGCGAGGAGTTTTCAACAGATGACTACTGTATAAAGATCGAGAAAACTGTTGCAGTAACCCAGCTGAATGCTGGTGGGGTGGTCTAAACTAGGTAGAGACAGAAGAAAAGTATGAAGATGGATTGCAAGAGACCTGTAGAATGTAATCCCACGAGACCTGATAACCAATAGAATGTGGGTAGTGAGGGAGGGAAGAACCAAGGAATAATTCCAATAACTTCAATAAGATGAGGGCCAGCAAACTCCTCAGCTCAGATGCCTGCGGGGAAGAGAGTTCACTGGCAGCAGAGACGACCCTCCGTATATCCACTGTCTCCCCAACTTCCTCCCGCCCTGTGCTCTCCAACTGAAGTTTTTCTGTTTTCACAAGACCAAAAACTCCATACTTTACCTAATTCTGAGAACCAGATATTGCTTACTTAAACTATTCGGATGAAACTGGTTAATTCGACCAACTCGAAGATATTGCTTTATTCCTTTGTAACACAAATAAAATAATAATAATAATAATAATAAAACTCTAGCTGTACAGCATAAGAAGCATACAGATCGTGAATATGTTTAATACAAATCCATGCAATTTGTCTTAAAGGACTGATACCAGGGGACACAGCCGCAGGGCAGGAATGAAAAGAAATGATTTCATTTGGCACAAATGTATTCATGTAAGCTGAAGATACTCATAAAATAAAGACACCGTCACAATGTTTAAAGAACATGCAGAAGAATACCAATCCCATAACATCTAAGCCGGTCAAATCTCCCTCCCTTTTATTTAGCTAGCATGACCATCTAATTTACTCACCTACCCTTTAGCTCACACAGTGATTCCTAATCCCAATAGAGTGAGGTCAGGCAGTCAGAGAACACGACACATACTAAGAATGTCACAGCCGGGGAGAATGGATGCTTTCTTACGAAATTCACACCAAAAAATGGCTTATTAGAATATGTCATCCTCTTGGTTGTAGGACATGTCTGACTCCACAACCACAATGCTTTCATAATTGTAGTTTCCACCAGTGGAAGTTGCATCGCTTGTACTGTTCTTCCTCTTCAATGGCTTTCCTCCCTGCAGGTCTGAGGGTTCAAACCCAGCAGGATTCACCGTTTGAAGTCCCTTGGCAAACGGAACCTCAGCCTTGCTCAGCTCCCCGGCTGAACCTGAACGACCAGCTGAGGGCAAAAGTCGGTCACTCCGTAGCCTTTTTCTTATTTTGTCTTCTTTAGTCTAAAAAAGCAGGATTAAAGAGTAAAAAAGAGCTTGAATAACTTTCTACAAATTCTTATTAAGATTGCTTGTTAATGAACATGTATGGTTTTCTGTATTTCACTATTCAGTCTTGTAACAAAATCTTGTTGAGAAACTCCAGGTGAAGAAGGCAGACACAGGGACTGCCCTCACAGAGCCTGGAGTCTGACCCTTGCTCTGAGAGGCCAAATAGAGAGCAGGGAAGGGAAGGAAGGCTGTCGGGGACCCACACTGCGAAGGCCGGGTCCAGGCAGAGCGGCTGGGAGAGAGTTCTGGAAGCCCTGGGAGCAAATGCTGCAGGAGTTGCTGGCTGATGCACTGCAGGGCCTCTTCGCAGCTTAGCACGGTAAGATACTGGGCTATAAGCGCAATGGACACCTTCCAGCTTCTTTACTGCTTGTTTGCTAACCGCAAGGCATTATGGGTACATTATGGGATGCAGAGGAGAAAGACAAAGAACAGCGGAAACCGGAGACTCTCAGCTAGGACCCAGAACAGGTTAGAGCCTATCAGGGGCAGGATGAAGTAAGAATCACTGTGGGGGCGGATGCATGATCAGTATGTAAACAACTCAGGTATAAAAGGGTCACTAGCACACAAAGGGGGGGGTCCCTGCCCGAAGAAGAGGTCACTGCGCTGGCACTCCGGGGGCTCGGACCCTAGCTCGAGCTAGACAATAAAACTCCTTGTGATAATTACAGCCTCGTGACTCTGTCCCTCTGTCCTGCGGCCCTGCGCATCTCGGCTATATAACAGCACCACACCCACCCTGCCTCTCCTCCTGCCCCTACACCCAAATTAAACTTTCGTTTTTTATTTGAAGAAAACTCCAGACTTCACTTGGTTTTGAGAATTGGATGCTGCTTACTTAGGCTATATGGATGAAACTCTAATCTTCGACCAACTGCAAGATTTTGCTTTATTCCTTCACAAGGGATATTTTAAAGAAGACTAAACCTATAGCATAAGCAGCACTCAGATCATTGAAATACTGACACGAGCTCATCTGAGTGTGCAGAGAGCGCCTGAGAGCTGAGTACCTTCCGGCGCTCCTCTGCCGCCTGCATCTTCTCCTCGATGTCCTTCATCGTGAAATCCTGTACTTCCCTTTTGATCTTGAGTTTTTTCAGCCTGGCCGGTGGCTTTCTCAGCGGCTTCTCAGTGATGTCCACCTGGAAGAAGACACTTTTTAAAGTGGAAAAACAGGCCAGGCGCGGTGGTGGCTCACGCCTGTAATCCTAGCACCCTGGGAAGCCGAGGTGGGCGGATTGCTGGAGGTCAGGAGTTCGAAACCAGCCTGCGCAAGAGCGAGACCCCCATCTCTACTATAAATAGAAAGAAATTAATCGGCCAACTAATATATATAGAAAAAGTTAGCTGGGCGTGGTGGTGTATGCCTGCAGTCCCAGCTGCTGAGGAGGCTGAGACAGGATTGGATCGCTTGAGCCCAGGAGTTTGAGGTTGCTGTGAGCTAGGCTGATGCCATGGCACTCGCTCTAGCCTGGGCAACAAAGTGAAACTCTGTCTCAAAAAATAAAAAAAATTAAAAAAAAAAAAAGCGGAAAAACAACCACATTCATTAACAGAGGAGAAAGGCAGAAGAGTTAGAATAAACGCAGTTTAAAATGTAAATCCTAGGCTCATGCCTGTAATCCTAGCACTCTGGAAGGCCCAGGAAAGAGGATTGCTTGACGTCCGGAGTTTGAGACCAGCCTGAGCAAGAGTGAAACCTCTACAAAAAATAGAAAAATTGGCTAGGTGTGGTGGTAGTCCCAGCTACTTGGGAGGCTGAGGCAGGAGGATGGTTTGAGCCCAGGAGTTTGAAGTTGCTGCGAGCTATGATGGCGCCACAGCACTCTACCCTGGGCAATGGCGCGAGACTCTGTTTCAAAGAAAAAAAAAGAAGAAGAAAGAAAAAAAAAAGGTAAATCCTAAAAAGCGAAACTTTCCAGAGGCAAATTAAAAAAGCAACAGCAATGTGAAAGCTATTAATAGTAACAACAGAATTAATTCATAAAGACAAAATCTCTTAGATGCTTTGAAAACACCAGACTACTACAAAAAAGCTGCTGAGAATGCAAGGTGCACTGAAACTAAGTAGAAGAAGACTTCTAAGAATAAAAATATCTTGAGAAGCAATACAGCGTGGAAAAAGATAAGGAATGAGGGACGAAAAGGGATGAAGATGAAAAGGGATAAAGGTGAAAAGTTCGACCTGATTATTTTATAATATTCCACAAGCTACAAATAACTTTCATTTGGGACAGAGATTAGTTTTCACTACTTTTGGTTTGTGGTGGGAAGAGACAATGAATAATTACTGAGCAACAGCTCTGTACTAGCCTTTCCTCTGAAACTTTACAAATATTTTCATGACAGCAGAAAAAAAATTCCATTTCATAGGATCAACTGCCCTTTTGACAGTTCTAAGCAATAATAATGACTTTCTAATTATAATTTCTAGTTACAAGAAAAGTAAACTTATTGTAAAAGTCTATAAAGAAAGTTTAAATTTATGTTTTGTTTTTTAAAATTAGTGTTTTATAATGTACATTTATCATGAATAATTAAAATGATACCTAAATAATCTCCTAATCCTGTGTTTAACCACTTGGCCCCCCAGTTCTACTTCTTTTTTTTTGAGACAGAGTCTCACTCTGTTGCCCGGGTTAGAGTACCATGGTGTCAGCCTAGCTCACAGCAACCTCAAACTCCTGGTCTCAGGCGATCCTCCTGCCTCAGCCTCCCAAGTAGCTGGGACTACAGACATGTGGCATGTGCCACCAAGCCCAGCTAATTTTTTCTATATATTTTTAGTTGGTCAATTAATTTCTTTCTATTTAGTAGAGATAGAGTCTCACTCTTGCTCAAGCTAGTTTTGAACTCCGGACCTTAAGCGATCCGCCTGCCTTGGCCTCCCAGAGTGCTAGGATTACAGGTGTGAGCCACAACGCCCGGCCCCCAAGTCCTACTTCTTAGTATGAACCTTTTTAAAGAGTTTGGTGTGTGTCTTTCCAGATATCCTCTATGCACCAATATTTATATACATAATATGCATTCAGGACATCTATAATGTTAAACAGAACCTAAATGGAATTATAGCATACGCACTGCTCTGCAATTTGCTTTCTCCAATTAATTTAATATGGACATCTCTCTAAGTCAGTATACACAGATTTATTACAACTGGGTTTGCAGGAAGTTTAATGAACTCCAGGGCTTCATGATAAGATGAACTGAATATTGTTCCAGATAATTTCTCAAAAGATGTTTTTAAAGACAATGAAGCTATTAATATTCATTGTAATTTCTGAGAAACTGTCTCTTCAGACTATAATGTTGGAGATACTGAGAAAATAAATCAAACAAAGAGAGGCAGTTTAGTCCAGCAGAAAAAGGCACCCGAGATCAGAACTCAGACAGACCTGGGTTTGAATCCTGGTTTGGCTATCAACTGACTTTCCATGAGTCCTTAAACTGCAGGCCATGGTTTTGTCACAGCCCAAGCAGGTTCACCACCCAACTATCAAAAAGGAGACAATGCACCCAGACAGCAGGGGTTACAGCAAAGAGTTTAATATCACAGGCCCCATGTGAGGAGATGGGAGGAAGTTCTCAAATCCATCTCCCTGAGAATTTGGGAGAAAGGGTTTTCCAAGATAGTTTGGCAGGCAAAAGGCTAGGCAATTGGGTCTGCTAATTGGCTGGGTTCAGGGCAGGGTAGAACCACAGGGGTGTAGAAATTGTCTTTTTTGTTGAGTGGGTTCTTGGGTGGGGGTCGCAATACCAGTTGAGTCAGTTCCTTGGCATGGGCCACTGGTCTGGGTTGGATCAGCCATTCTACCACATGCAGGGCCTGGAAGAGCCCTGCAAGATATCTCGAAAACTAGCCTTAGATCTCACATGGAGGATGTTATCTATGTGGAAAGTTAAGAATCTTTATGACCATCAACTATGTGACTCCTGAATAGCAATTATAGGAAAGCAAACCAGGAGACAGTGGCTGGTTATTATCATTATTTTGAGCTATGCCCCTGCCCCTGCAAAGTTTAGGGCCTTACCACAGTTCTCTTCTTGCATCCCTTTATTGATTTGTAAATGGTGGTTTCAGTTTCCTCATTTGTAAAAATAGGTTTAATAATACTTATTTCACAGGATGGGGGAAGAAAGAAAATGAAAATATATAGTAACCGCTCAGTAAACAGTAACTACTTTTCATTCAGTAAAAGACTTTTTCAATGACAACACACAGAATCATAACCAGGATGGGGTATTATCTTACCCCAGGCCAGCAGGAGGCCTGAGAGTCAGCCCTGGGGCAACCATGACCACCAATACCCACTGCGGCAGCTGAGGAGCCTCTTTTCTTCAGGCTGGGCTTTCTCAGCTGTGAAACAGTGAGGGGACTGAGGACTGCTAAGTTTCCTTCAGCTTTGAAATCTATGCTTCTAGGAAAGTCTTCTGAAGGGAAACATTTATTGACGTTTTGGCTCGTTAGAGCCATCAGACAGTTTTATGCAGTGTGAAGTTTTTCACCACGTGAAAACTGTGGAATGTTCCTCAAAGCAAGCCACCCCTCCCCCACCATTTGTATTATTTTTATGACAATTGGCTCTTAGGCTTCCTGCTGGCAAAAGCCATCTGCTGAAGAGAGGGACATACTTGCTATGGTGGCTCAACTAGACATACTGTGAAATTAGTATGAAAGTGTTTTTTTTTTTTAAGGAATGTTCGCTTGCAGAGGGCTAAGACAAAATGGAAGTAGGAATCCAAGATCCAGTAGAGAAAAGCTGGGTTTTCTTTACACAGGAATCTGAACCTTGATGAAAACGATGAGATCGGTAGTTCTCACAAAACTTTGGTTTTCCAGTTTGGGTGGCCTCTTCCTGTGGCTTAATCCCAAAATGACACCTGTGATACCATGTTCTGCCTGGCCCCCTTGGGGAAGTTAATCCTATCAAGGCAGCCCTGACCTTTCTAGAGTTCGACATTTTAAGTAAAGGAATTGAATGATGCATAGCATGATATCTGGGTTCTTTACCACTCAGTTTTATGAAGTCATTATTATCAAATGTTGGCACTTAAAAATGATAACAAGGATCGTATTATGCTTAGAGAGATGCTACCAATAGAAACTAAAAAAAAAAAAAGGAAAAGAAAAGAAAAAATCAAGCTTAAAGCCTATAAAAGTTACCAGTTCAGTTATTTTCTTAAAGAATATTATTAGATGACTGCCAAGCCCAAAGATGCTGAGATAAGATTTGAGTTTCGTTTCTAGTCAACCTAACTTGTATATGTTACTTCTTACATCCACTGTGTGTTCCTCAAAGCTTTCTTAACCAATGATCTATGGATGAAGCTTAGTTTTGTTTTCCTTAACGGAGTCTTGTGCATAGAAAAGGACAAAGCTTCCTGCAAGACATCTGGTCATTCCTGTTTTGTCAAGGTTAGACCTCCTGGGGAAGGGCCTCCTGGGGACTGCCACTCTGATCACTAACTGACATTGTTTAGTCCTAACCCAGTCAACTTCCTCTTCCTTAAAAGCTCCACATGAGGTTCAGCAAATAATGTCAGAGATTCTGATGCCATGTGAGCAAACTCCCTAACTACGCTAAAGGTTACCAAGTACAGAAGTTGCACAGAGAAGGGATAAACTCTGACCAGACAACAGGAGGGAAGAGTCAACAGAGAATTCACAGGGCCTCGTGCAGGGAGACCCAGGACACGCTAAGAAACAGGGAGAAATGAGTTGGGGATAAAAGACAATTGAACTCCATGATAACCTATGTGGATAAATGAGAGCCCATCACATCTGTCTACAGTGGTCCACACCAATCCATACGAATATTGACGTGGGTACCTAAAACCAATTCATAGGCCAGGCACGGTGGCTCACGCCTGTAATCCTGACACTCTGGGAGGCAGAGGTGGGGGGATTGCTTGAGCTCAGGAGTTTGAGACCAGCCTGAGCAAGTAGGCAATCTCCCTCAACTCTACAAAAAAAATAAAAAAAAAAAAAGGAAAAAAAAACCCCAGCCAGGTGTTACAGTGTGCACCTGTAGTCCCAGCTTGAGGCCAGGAGTTGGAGGTTGCAGTGAGCTACCATGACACCACTGCGCTCTACCCAGGGCAATGGGGTGAGTCTCTGTCTCAACAACAACAAAAAAACACAAGACAACTGAGCACCCCTCCTCACAACTCGAAAAACAAAAAACAACAACAAAAAAACCCAATGCACATTTATAATATAGTCACCTGAGTCTCGTTAGAATATTTTAAACTACATTGAAAGAGTCACTTAATATGCTATTTAGCTTCTTAATATTATATTTCTTATCTATCTTTTTAACTCTTAGTAAACACAAAATCTATTAGTATGAACATTCCTGAAAGCTGGTTATTCGGAGAGCACTGTAGAAGTACTGTAGTGCTTGCCAGCAAGCACACGATAAATATAAAGACAAAAAGACAAAGGAGGCCCCCATGGTGGCCACAGATCCTCCCCTGGACCTCCAGGGTGAGACTGGCTCACAGGGGATGCCCCTGATTCAGAAGATGTTGGAAGACCCTCACTTTCCAGCATCCTTCATTCCACTCCACTGAAATAACTCAATTAGAGACAATGACCCAGCCAAGAAAGGTTCAAATCTACGTCTAAGATTCCCTCGTATTTCAGTATACTGTTGGTCCACATAAGAAGTCTTATTTTTGAAGTAGTCTCACATTGATTCTATTTTCCTCATACTATTTTAGTTAAGAGACTTCTTTTTTTCCATAGAGCAATGAAGAAATAATATTTCCATGTCTAACCAGATTCACAACCATGTGGCAGCTGCTGACATCAACATCTTTTCTATAACCATCCCTTTTGTGTTTCCCTTGACTCCTGGGTTTGTTTCTTAGCCATTTTATCATATCTGGTCTTTTTTTTTTCAGATGAAGTATTAGTTCAAAATATTAACAGTTCCATTCTTAATATGGTTCCCCTCTCATTCCTTCAATATTCATTCTCATCTTTTTACGTTGCCCTTATAACTTTTCCCCAAATATGCAAGCCACCTGGTGTCTGACACACGTATATTCTCAGCTACACTTGAATTGAAAGAGGCTTCATCTGTACTGAGCAACAGCATCTCTTCTTCGTTTCCATGGGCTTCCTTGGTCCCTATTCCTGCAATGGTATATTTTCAGGAATGTTTTAGAATTCTCTTTTACAATGAATGGGGAATGGACTATGATTTCAAAAGCTGCACGTTTTTCCACCTTGGTAATGAATTTAAGAGCTTTGTGTACAGGTTTGTTGAAACTTGAGGGCGGTGGTTCTCAGCCTGGGCTGCCCACAGGAGTCACTTGGGAACTTTCGAGAGTGTGAAAGCCACACCCCATGCCCTGGCACTGGCCTGATGGGGGACCCAGACATTGGGATTTTTGAAAGCTCCCTAGGGGACCCCAGTGTACAGCCAGGTCAAGGACTACTGCAAGCCTGGCCTTTGTTGGGATATCGTGGCCTAACACTAAAATGAACAAACAAACAAAAAAATGTGTTATTCTTGCAGCCTGTCACATTTAAATCATTTTGTGAATGATCCAACTCTGCTTCTAACAACCATTCCATGTCTGTATAGTATGAACGTCTTCATCTTTGGTTTACTTAATCATGTCATTCAAAGTCAAGCCTGTAGTTCTCATTTTTTAATAGATACATTTCTTTCACAAGGCAGCTTAAATTAATTAACCTTGCCTGCTCTTTTGCAAGGTCTAAGTTAGAACTCATTCATCTCTGGCAATTGAATCACTGAGAAATGTTTTAATGTTATTCCCACCGGTGTTAACACCAGTATGTGTCTAAAGCATTTCCCTTAAGAAGGCAGTGCTTAACTACTGAATGCTTTCAAAATCTATTCTCTTCATTTGGACTACTCGTCTTTTTTTTTTTTTTTTTTTTGACATGCCTTCTTTTTTCTGACCCCCAGAGACTCACCTACAGCTAGAAAAACATCTCTACACCTCCTCGACATTAAAAAGACCCATTCTTCCTCTAGTACTTCCAGGTAAGATAAGGTACTCCAAAATGCCTTGTATCATAGATAGCATTGTGCAAATGTAAACTGTCATTACGTTGACATTATCCTTTCCATTGTATGATCCATTTTTACCTTGCTCTTTCCCCCACATCCTCTTATTATTGGCAGCCTGGTAATATCATTCATAAAATTTGAAAATCTCCCCCAAACTTTCTGCAAGACTGATTTTCCTTTTTCAAAAGAAAATGGCACTTTGGTTTTTATTCATGAGTTCTCAACATCCCTACACACGGAGAAGGAAATTAATTTGTTTCAAACATGAAGTGACTTGGTCTAGGTGGAAAACTTGATTTAAAATAATGTGTTTTTTTAATTCTTGATTGACTGTTTTCCCTACAACACAGGGATAGGCAAACAGTAAGGAGTCTGTGATTTGTGTTGCCCATTTCCACCATTTCTGTTTCTTTCTTTTCTTTTCCATTCATTTTTCCTCCAGCTTCTTTTCTTTGTTATTTCTTTTTTTCACCTTCTCACTTCTGCCTATGCTTCAAGGACTACTACTGGTGGTGCCTGAGAGCATTGGCTTTAAAAATAAACAAACAACCAAACAACAAAACAAAATAACGACAACACACAACAGTGACAAAATCTGCTATCTTATTCACAGGTTTATAGAGAATTTATTTAAAAATTTAGAACTCAAGACTTCGGCCAAACCAGTTAAAATCAGAGTAAAAACATTACTCACACTAAGGAAAACCAATGACAGATTAAGGATGAATCAACAGGATGTTGAGGATGAATCAATAACAAAAAAATAATAGTATAACAATCTCTAGAATTGTGTTTATTTCCTCATGTTTGCTTTTAGGGTGTGCATATGTATAAATGTATAAGCACATCTGTTTTAGCTTTGACATTTAGGCCCACTGTCTTTTCTTTTTTTAAATTTTATTTTGTTTTTAATTGAAACATAATTGTCCATATTTTTAGAGTACAGGATGATGTTTCAATACATTTATACATTTTATAATGATCAAACCAAAGTAATTAGCACACTCATCATCTGAAACACTTTGTTGGTCAGTGTGGTGGCTCATGCCTGTAATCCCGCCACTCTGGGAGGCTGAGGTGGGAAGATCACTTGAGGTCAGGAGTTTAAGATCAGCCTGAGCAAGAGTGAGACCCTGTCTCTACTAAAAACAGAAAATTTAGCTGGGCATGGTGGGAAGCACCTGTAGTCCCAGCTACTCAGGAGGCTGAGGCAGGAGGATGGCTTGAGCCCAGGAGTTTGAGGTTGCAGTGAGTTATCATGACACTACTGCACTGTATCCTGGATGACAGAGCAAGACTATCTCAAAACCCAGAAACAAACAAACAAACAAACAAACACTGTGTTGTCACAGGCCTATTTCCTTCTTGAATAAATCAGAATTTAGTTTAATATTCCCAATGCCTGGCATAATGCCTATGACATAGGTAATGAATAATAAAAATTGCTAAAAAAATTAAGGCATGTTATTCAATGGGGATTATTGTTTTTCAAAATTAGTAAAACCTAAGATATGTTCTATTGGATTGATTAATCATTAACAATTAGGGAAATTCCAGATCGATAGAGGAGGATTATGTGCAGAGGTATGGGGCAATTTATGGGAGAAAAATCTGACTTAGATGAATGCTGTCATCTGGATTATAACTCAAAGATGCTGGAAATAATGACATGCAATCAATCATATTCTATTGCTACTTTGAACTATAAGCTAATGTTAATTACAAAATTACTTGCCATGACATCATATGATTCTCCATTTCTAAATACTTTGCTGTGGCTTTGAATTATTCCTTGAACAATTAGTTCCTCCAGGATGTCTGATGACTTCTGTCGCTCTCGATTCTCTAGGGGTTGGGGCTTATTGATTAATCCATTGGTCACTAGGTCTTCCAAAGGAAAAGAAAAAAGAAAGTGAAATGTAAGAATGAAGATTTTATCAGTTGAATGCTAAACAGATGCCTTATAAATCATGCTACTTAATTAGGGCCAGGGGTGGTGGTGTATGCCTGTAATCCCAGCACTTTGGTAGACCGAGGCAGGAGGATCGCTTGAGCCCAAGACTTTGAGATCAGCCTGAGCAACATAGTGAGATCCTGTCTCTGCAAAAAATAAAAAATAGTGGGTGTTGTGGCACGCATCTGTAGTTCCAGCTGCTCAGGAGGCTGAGGTGAGAGGATCACTTAAGCCCAAAGTTCGAGGCTGCAGTGGGCACCATGGCACCATTGCACCACTGCACTCCAGCCTGGGAAACAGAGCAAGACTCTGTCTCTAAATAAATAAATGAGTCAATCGTGCTACTTAATTAAATCTTAGTCTCAGTACTCTTCAATAAATATGTTTCTATTTAACTCTTTGTAATCTTTTAAAGCCCAACTTTTTAATGTTCTTACAGAGGATACACATCAACATAACATACTGTTTACTTAGCAGATCACATATTAACCCAACAAAAATTCTTCCTGTGTGCTGCCATGGACTACCTTTTTGTTGTAACAACACTTATACACTCGGGTATGACGCCGTGGGTTTGCTCAACTCATTATGTAGCCAAACCACAGCTAAGACTCAGATATTCTTTTGGTGATTCTCATGAGTTGCAGTTTGGTTTCTATGCTTTGTATACAAAGGATAAACAGCGTGATGTTGCCAAGAGACTTCTAGTTCTGCAACTCTGAGTTTAAAGTTACGCCATCTGGTAAATCTACATAAGTAAAAGTATGCCTTTTTGAAAAGAGTCTTTGAACCAAATCAGAACTGGAGCTAGACTGTTATCAGCTAAATTTTTATTAATGATTCTAAAAATGAGCATTGAAACGGTTTACAGGGGAGTTTCATCTTTAAAAGCTACACTAGTGAGAGAGGCCCCCTTCCAAATCACCCAATTACCTAAATAAGCAAAAAAGCAGCTGCTTTTATGTCTTCACGTTATTAAATAAAGGTCACTGGTTTGTCGGGCCAAAGATAGCTTTGCTTTTCCTGTCGGAGATGGTGTGATGGGGAGTCCTCGGAGATGAGCTCTCTTCTGTTTTGTAATCATCTTGAATTCCTGATAGTAACCAAGTCCATTCTGTTTTGCGGATGGAATAATTTTTATGAAAATTTCTAACCTCAATGGTTAGCTAAGACAGCTTTCATGACTCTGTGCTGGGAAGACAGAGAACATACACAGACGGATGCACACACACTACTCAGGTGTCTGTCACTTCTGAATGGTAACCTCTCTGCTGTGGGACATTTCTCTAATTGACCACCGCAAGTGACTCCAACAAATTCCCCCGCATTTCAGTACCTTTTCAGGGTTGTGTTTTCCACCCACAAAGCTGTTTGAAATAGAGCCAAGTCCCACTTTAAAGTGCTCTATGCAGACTTTTGGTGCAGGGTGGGCTAAAACATGTCATCCACGTAAGTAAACTAGAAACTTGAAACAATGGAGAAAAACTCAATAAAAATGTCAGAGGCAAATCCCCGTTAAGGAATTAGGATGATATTTTTGTTGTTGTTCTTGTTAGAAGGTGGGCTTACCTGGAAGTGTCAAAAAATAATAATTGCTATTTATTGAGCACTTATGCACCTGCACTATACTAAGTACTTGGTGTACTATATAACACCCAGTGCAAACATAAGGTCTGAGAGAGAATTATTATTATTCATATTTTATAAAAAAAAATAGCTACACTGATATGAGGGAGGCTAATTAACTCGCTCAAGGCGATACAGGTAGTAAGAGTGCTAACTAGGATTGAATCCAAGTCTGTTTGGCTTCAACACCCACATTCTCACTATCTCACTGTTTTTCCTTCCAAATATGTCATGTAAACAGCTCACTGTGGTCCATGTCTGTCTCAGGATGTTTCTAAAAGGAATGTCATGTTTGACATCTGTCACTAATACAATGAAATTACTGTAACCATTGTGGTCCATTCTTTGCTGAGTCCAAGTATTTAGCTTGACATTTGCAGTAACTAACCTACACAGAAATTGCTGGAATATGTCAGTCATTTCAACTAATTTTCTTGCTCTCTTGGGCTATCAGGGAATATTGGAGAATGTTTAAAACCACACTGTGCTTTTTTTTTTTTTATCATAAAAGTAATATATAATTACTGTAGTAAGTTTAGAAAATATAGAAAAGAATAAAAAGTAAAATAAAAAAATGCCCATGCTTTCACCATCCAGAGATTGTTATCGTTAATACATGACATTTTATTTTTATAAATTTGACATCATACTGGACGTACTGTTTTATTTCCCATGTAGTTAACATTTCCATTAGCATTTTCTCATGTCGTTTGAAATTACACAAGTAAACATAGGTGAATTTGTCTTTAATCTTGGTGCAGGGAAAGGCTTTCTAATTGTGACTCAAATTCTAAATGTAATTGAAAAATTAGTAAATTTTACTAGATTAAAAAAAAACTTTTGCAAGGCAGAAAAGTTAAAAAAAATAATGCATTAAATATAGTTATCACATACCTCCTAATCTGCTGTATTAAGGAAGACACAATATCAGTTTTGGTATTCTTGCTAAAATGCATAACCTGAACTCAATCATAAGGAACACTTAGACAAACCCAAACTGAGGAACACTGTACAAAATAAATGGTCTATACTCTTCAAATGTACCAAGATCATAAAAAATATCAAATACTGAAGAGCTATTAAAAAAGACTGAACACACCTGCCAACCAAATTAAACATATGATCTGGAACTCTGAATGAGAAATTTATTTATACAGGACATTTGTGAGACAATTGACTAAATTTTATTTCTTTCATTTTTGAGACAGAGTCTTGCTCTGTTGCCCCTGGTAGAGTGCAATGGCATCATTATAGCTCACCGCAATGTCAAACTCCTGGGCTCAAGTGATCCTCCTGCCTCAGCCTCCCAAGTAGCTAGGACTACAGGCGTGAGCCACCATGCCTGCCTAATTTTTTCTATTTTTTGTAGAGATGGGGTCTCCCTCTTGTTCAGGCTGGTCTCGAACTCCTGACCTCAAATGATCCTCCTACCTTGGTCTCCCTCTAATCCTCCTGCTAGGATTACAGGCTTGAACCACTGAGCCTGGCCTGAATGTGGTCTATTGATCTTATAATAATAGTACTACATCAATGGCACTTTCCTGATTTTGATCCTTGTACAGAGATTATGCAAAGAATGTCCTTGTTTTCAGGAAATACACACTGATGTATTTAGAAGTAAAGTGGCATTAAGTCTGTGACTTATTCTCAGAAAAACATACTTGTATGTGAGGGAGAGAGATGATAATGCGAATGTGGTAGCTTGTTAACATTTTGGGAATCTGGGTGACAGAATACAGGTGTCCTTTGTTTTATGAACCTTTTCTTGAATCTGAAATTATTCCAAATAATTTTTTTTTTTAAAAAAGGAAACACTTGGGAAATGTCAGTGTACAACTTGAAATTCTTAACAAATATACTCTGCAGATGTGAAGAACAGAGATGCAGGAAGGAGGACACCCAGGACTGGGAGGTAGAAAGGAAACTGGGCGGAGAACAAATAGAAAGTCCAGGGTACAAGGTCCTGATTGTTCTGTTGCAAGGTGCTTCCTAAGAACTCGCTGGCCCTGCATGTCAGAAACATCTGCTTGGTGGCTGACCCCTCCCCAGCTGTTCTCCCTCAGCACTCTCCTGCCTGCTGCATGGGCCTTTAACAGTGTCCCTACAGCTGGCAGGCTGGACTGTCCCAGGACACACAGGGTCCCTGTCTGCCTGACACTCTGCAGTCTGTGACCAACACAGATATGTAGCACTCAAGTTGCAGTCTAGAAGGGAGTCTCGTCAACAGAAGTATCAGAGAGAAAATCATGTACGAGCTGGCCCAACACCTAGAAGAGCGTGAGGGGCCGTTCCTGCATTCCCTGACCTCTCCCGTCATTCTCAGAGGTCACACTGACACCACATCAGAGCCCTAAGAGGAAGGAGAATATAGAATCTGTGATAACCTGAGTGTGCCAGAAAAGTCCAAGAAAAAGAATCGCACGTATTAACCTGTTTTCCCATCCTAACTTTTACCTAGAGAAGAAACTATAGAGACAAGGCAAGAAATAAAAGTCTTCCCCCCAAATAAAACTCTTCCTTGAGGTCTGTGAAGTCCAATCTGTTGCGAAGGCTGACATAAATAAGATGCGTGAAATCAACACCAGGGGTCACTCAAGTATTTGTGGTTTTTCCCACCATAGGCAAAAAAACCACAAATAGTTTCTAAAGAGCATACTATTAATAGGTAGTAATTACTTCTCTTACCCTTTTGAGAGATTCTTTTATTGTGTATTTGCTGATACTTTGGGTGGGGAAAGACATGGGAAACACTTTGGTGTAGGTTTTATTTATTTTTGAAAATGTAGACTTTCCCCTGGAAAGATGTTAACACAGTGGTAGCTTAAATTTCTTTAAACTTTGCCAGTTCTATTCCTAAGGTCTGTTTGTTCCCAACTCCCAATAAAGGCTCTTAGTTGTTTTTTTTTTTTGTTTTTTTAAACAGATGGTTTTAATTACTTCATCAACAAGAAGATTAATGGTCAGCATTATTTATTCACAGAATGAAGAACTAAGGCTAAATTCTAATGTCTTAGGGATAAAAACCTTGCCATATAAAGTACTTCATGATCCACAAAGTAGTGATGAAAGATCTACCAAACAGACACTATATAATAATATATTTAGAGAAGCAGTATTTTGTAAAGCTCAACATGAATGGGAGTGTAGGGAAGTTACCTGAATTTACTCTTCTGTTTCTTTCACTAGGAGATGGAGAACTTTCTGGAATGGTCCCGGGTAAGTTTCCCATCTGGGCTTGTTTCAGGTCCTCTGCATTACCCACAGTACCCCTGGGTAGTACAGCTTCCTCTCGGGGGCTGAAATTCTCCCTGGAATGAGTTGCAGCGCCATCAGCCTGTGAAAAGGGAACAGAGTGTCAAGATTTCCTGGAAAATAAAAACAATGTTGCAGGGTCGGCTTGGTGACTATCTAGCCAGCCAGCATCTGCTGTAGGCTGAATGGTACCTAGGAACCTGTAGATGTCATCTCATACGGCAACATAATTAAGCAGGTGTGATTGAGGTTCTCGAGATGGCAAGATTATCCTGAATTACCCAGGTGTCCTTATAAGAAGGAGACTGGGGGAGATTTGACTACAGAAGAGGAGAAGGTGATACAGCAACAGAAGCAGAGACAGATTTGAAGATGTCAGGGTGCGGGAGTTGAAGATGGAAGGGGCTCGAGCCAAGGAATGTAAAGAAGACAGCTGTAGAAGCTGGAAAAGGCAAAGCAAGGCAAGGATTCTCGGCCCAGAGCCTCCGAAAGCAGCCAGCCCTGCCATCACCCTGACTTTAGCCCCGTGCAACTGCCTTTGGATTTCTGACCTCCAGAACTGTAACAGAAGACATCTGTGTTGTTTTAAGCCATTAAATTTGTGTTAATTTGTTATAGCAGCAATAGAAAATTAGTATAATATCTAATATGAATTTACCAGGTACAAGTTACCATGCTGATCATTCTGGAAGATACCAAGATAAACACGTTCATAATCATCAAGTGTGAAAGTAGAGGGACTATGGTATTTTTTAAAAGTATTTTTAAAAATTGAAACGATATTGTTTTTGCTGATTAAAAAAGTAATACTGGCCCAGTGTGGTAGCTCATGCCTGTAATCCCAGCACTTTGGGAGACTGAGGTGGGAGGATCACTGGAGCCCAGGTGTTCAAGGCTGCAGTGAGTTATGCTTGTGCCACTGCACCGCAGCCTGGGCGACAAAATGAGACCCTGTCTCTAAAAACAAACAAAACAAAACAAAACAATAAAAAAACTAATAGAAATTCATTGTAAAAATAATTAAATGATATAGAAGGAAATGGTAATGGTCAGTTTTATGTGTCAACTGGGCTAGGCAACATCAGCCAGTTGCTGTATTTTTTTTTTTCTTTTGAGACAGGGTCTTGCTCTGTCACCCTGGCTAGAGTGCAGTGGCATCATCATAACAATAGCTCATTGTAACCTCAAACTCCTGGGCTCAAGAGATTCTCTTGCCTCAGGCTCCTGAATAGCTAGGACTACAGGCACACACCACTATGCTGGCTAATTTTTCTATTTTTTGTAAAGATGGAAGATGGGGTCTCACTTTTGCTCAGTCTGGTCTCAAACTCCTGGCCTCAAGAAATCCTCCAATCTTGTCCTCCCAAAGTGCTAGAATTATATGTGTGAGCCATTGAACCTGGGGCCCATTCAAACATGAATCCAGGTGTTGCTCTGGGAAGGTATTTTGTAGATGTGGTTAACACCTACAATCAAGTAACTTTAAGCAAAGGAGATCATTCTTGATAATCTGGGTGGGCCTTATTCAACCAATTGAAAGTCTTCAATAACAGAATTGAGGTTCCCCTGAAGAAGAAGAAATTCTGCCTGTCAACTGCAGCTTCAACTCCAGCCTGTCCTTTCTGACTGATTGTCTGCGCCATATATTCTATGGAGTTTGGATTTGTCTAGCCAGCCTCTGTGATTGAATAGGCCAATTCTTTGTAATTCCTCTGTCTACTCACTTATCCATTCATCTATCCTACTGGTTCTGTTCCTCTGGTAGATTGATACAGAAACACAGTAGAAAATAAATAACATCCCCTAGACAGAACCCCAGTAACATTTTACTATATCATTTCCCAGATATGTTGCTCATATAAATGTAATCTTTAAAAATAAATTGGAATTGGCCAATAAACACATGAGAAGATGTTCAACACCATTAGTCTTTAGGGGAATGAAGATCAAAACCATAATGATATACCATTTCACATCCATTAGGATGACTATAATGAAAAAAAAACACACAATAACAAGTGTTGACGAGGATGTGGAGAAATTGGAACCCTCATACATTGCTGTGCAAATATAAAAGGGTGCAGCTACTTTGGAAAACAGTTTGACAGTTCCTTAAAAAGTTAAACATGCATAGTTACCATCTGACCCAAAACGTCACTTCTGCATATATACCCTAGCAAAATGAAAACATCTGTTCACACAAAAACTTGCACACAAATGTTCATGATTATTATTGATAGTATCCAAAAAGTAGAAATGATCCAAATGTCCGTTAACTGATAAACGAATAAATGTAGCTTAGTCAAAGAAAGTAGTATCATATGGTGATGAAAAGATATTAAATACTGACATATGTTGCAACATAGATGATACCTGGAAACCAGAAGCCAATGAAAGAGGCCAGTCACAAAGACCATTCATGCTCAGAATGGGCAAATTTATAGAAGCAAAAGATAGATTTAGTGGTTGTTTAGGGTGGGGTCTGGGGTGGGGGAAATTGAGATTGCTAATGGGTAGCTGTTTTTTTGGGCGGGGGAGCAAAAATGTTCTCAAATTAGATTGCGGTGATGGTTGTCAATTGTACATTTTAAATAGGTGCTACGGTTTGACTATGTCCCCTGCAGAATTCAGATGTTACCAATGTGATAGTATCAAGAGGTGGGGCCTTTAAGAGATGATTAGGCCATGAGGGCTCCTCCCTTGTTAATGGGTTAAGTCATTTATAATTTATAAAAGAGGCTTCCCACAGCTTTCAGCTGCCTTGCTCTTCTAATCTTTTACCATGTGAGGCACAGAATAATAGTCCTCACCAGACAACTTAACCTTCTGTTGCCTTGATCTTGGACTTCCCAGCCTCCATAACTGTGAGAAATAAATTCCTGTTCATTATAACTTAGCCAGTCGGTGGTATTTTGCTATAGCAGCACAAACAGACTAAGACAATGGGTGAATCATATAGCATGTGAATTATATTTCAATAAAGCTGTTTAAAAAATAAACAGAATTACATATTAAATGATACATTTCTGTAACATGTTTTTCCATTAGCAACATATTGGCGACATTTACCTATGTCAACATATATAGGTCTACCTCATTCTATTTAATGGTGAAGAGTAGTCGCTTATTTGACAATTGCATTGCAGTCCATTATGTAACTATACCACAAAGTATTTAACCAATTTCTACTGAAGGACATCTCAGCTGTTTCTAACTTTTCAATACAATAAGCAGTGCTGGAATATCTGTGCATATACATCAGTGTGACCCATCCAATCATTCCGCGAGAATAAATTCCTAGATGTGGACATGGTGGGTCAAAGGATATGTACATTTTATACTAAAATGTGTTTCCAGAGGGCCTTCCATAAATACTGCACCAATTCACAATCCCACCTTCTCTTTTCAAAGGTGTCTATTTCTTCATACCATAATGTCATTGCTTGTATTACTACATAGGTCAAAACACAGTGCAGAAATCTGTGATTTAATAAACCATTGAGGACAAATTTCTTGTCTGTGTCACATTTTTCACAGTTCCACAGCAAACGAAGAAAAATAAGAAAACTGTAATGAGTTTTTCATAAAGCTAAGTTAATTCAATTTAAAGAACTGTCACTTATTTTGAGAGTAAGTACATTTTACATGTTAACATGTTCAGAAAAACTTTTCTCATATCCCCCTAACTACCACGTCTCCTTTCTCTTGGTGTGTAGCCATCTTTCATTGCTTGGGTTGCAACTTTCCTACTTTTTATTTTAATGGGAGTCATCACCTTCTGCATCTATGACACAAGGACCAGAGGAAACCTCCTCAGTGTCCCCAGAAGAGATAAGAACATAAGCATCTTCCACTGAGTATTGTCTTCCGGGGATGTTTCTTATGTGCGTTGATTTTGCTTTTTGGCCCAAGTGGTGCTTTTCCACTCCTCTGAGTCTTTGAAGGGCCTCAGGACTCTGCCATCCACCTCCCACTCTTTGCAGCACAACCCTGCTGTATGTGCCACAAGGTTGTGTCTTGTTGCGGCCAGCACAAGGTGTTAAAGAGGAGAAGATGCTTGAATTGGGTCTTGATGAATGCATTTCCAGTGAACAACGAAAGAAGGGCATTTTAGATGCAAGGAGAAGCACACACAAGAGAGGAATATGAAACCTATTGTGTGTCCAGGAAGGTGAACTATTCCAGAGTAGTGGAAACAGACTGAGGTAGACAGTGGAAGGTGCTGAGGTGGGAAAGAGGAGTCTTTTGTGACAAGTAAAGGAGATTGATTTGTTTTGAATGCAACAGGAATCTTTCATGGGATTTTTATCCATGGAAGTAAAATAAATTCACCAGGTGTGTTTTTTAGAAAGGGCATTCTTGGGTTAGTGTAAGTGACGAAAACAGAAGGAAGGAAGGGACATAACAAGGTGATCAGTTACAATTACTGCAATTGTCCAGGTGAGATTTGACTAAACATGAACTAGGACAGTGGCAGTGAAAACAGGGGAAAGAGGTGGGTCCAGAAATGTTAGAAAGGCAGAGAATTGACTTCTTGGAGCCTCAATTTGAAGGAGGGAGCTCCCTTTTGGCGCTAAAATTATGACTCTAGGAACCGTGCAGAAGATATTCCCTTTAGGAAAACTAAATAAAAAATAGGACATTGGTCTGAAACTCTTGGTACTTTTACAGTAAAAATCATACAAACTTTAAAAAAAATATAAGCACATTTGATCACTTTGTAGAATTACTCCAAAATTTGAAGTCCCTTAGAGGCTAAGTAGAAATGGCAATGGTGAGCTTATGGTGGCGCCAGTCATGATTAGGTTTCCATAATTCATTTAGGGATTCTTCCATGTTCCTTGTGGGTCTTACCTAGCTCCTTATCACTGTGTTTATATAAAATGATCGCTCCAGCTAAACCAACATCAGTTCATTGTTTTGAGGGTTAACTAGTTCTATGGCTCAGGACTACATGGGAAAACATGAAAAACCAACCAACCAAACACACAAGGAAGCAAACAAAACCCCAGTGTATCTGAAATAGGAATCAGAACAAGGAGAAAGCCTAAAAGCAACTACATCCTTTTCTCCTTCTCCTTC